CAGTGCGAAATTGGAAGGTCACCAGGATCAAAGTGGCAGTGGGGGGAACATGAGTCAGATATCAGACATTTTCTGATGACTCAGACGATGATGCAGATAGCCTGAACTCTGATGACCTCAGGGAACTGGATCGTAGTGCATCCAGGTACATGTCAGTAGCTGTGCGTGCGTGCGTGCGTGCGTGCGTGCGTGCGTGCGTGCGTGCGTGCGTGCGTGCGTGCGCGCGCGTGTGAGTGCGTGCATGTGAGCACGCATGCATGTTTGCATATGTGTGTACAAGCCTGAAGAAATCAACATTACCTTTTAATAAGCATACCTTGGTAATAAGTGTTAGGGATGTGGCTTTAAAGAACAACATGCCTACACCCCTCAAAAAATCTTGCATTTCATTTGTTTCTAAAGAAATGTCACTGTAAAGCTTTTTGATGGTTTTGGGTGTTAAGAGATACATTTTATGTGATAGTAGCATGAGGGACTTAAGTATATTAAATCTTTGTTTCCAGTGATGATGATGAAGATGAAGATGAAGGGGAGGAAGCAAATGATAAAAACAGAAAACAAACGAAGATGCAGATGCAGCCAAAAGAAGAAGAGGAAGACGATGAGTTTCCTGATGCAGATGATATCGTTGAAGACTTTGAATTCTCCGATGATGAGTCCACATGAATAATGAATTATTTGTAACCATGGCAAACTGATTTTATAATACAAATATTTCAAATATTTATGTCTTTTTTTCTCTTTAACTATCAACTGAACAGATGCTTTTGAAAATTATAGCAGAATAATCTCTATTGAAAATTGCATTCTATATCCAGCAGATTACATACAATAGGAAGAAAATGATTACATTCTGCACACAGCAACACACAGGCTGTACATCGACGGATACCTGTAATAAAGTAATAATTAAGGGTCGAAAATATAATTTTAACAAGTAACTTGTGTACCTTTTGTAACAAGTAACGAGTAGGCCTACTAGTGCTGATGTTTACTGCCACAATTCATTATATACCATAGCTTTTCAATTCTCGTTACTTGTAGATATTTACAACCGGTCGATACATTACTCAATGTTTCTTGGATTTAAATTATAACGGCTGTTTCAATAGTCGCAGCAAATGTAGTATTAAAGATGCGTGATTATACACATCATCTCACGATTTACTGTACACGGAACGGGCTGATCTAGAAAGTTGCTCTTATATAATTTCTATCTGAAATTAAATGTTCACCAGAAGATGGCGCCACATGGCTATTTGTAAGTTTTCGCCACGGAATCTATGCCAACCAAAACTGGTCTGCACTACCAAAATTTCCTGTGATAATTATTTATCCATGCGGCTTTTTATTTTTCCTGAAATTTCTCTCTTCCTCGAGAAATGTTATTAGCAAGGAAGTATAGGAAGCGGAGAAGAAAGATGGCACGTAGAATATAGGTGGCGGTAGAATTGAAAAATTAGGAAAAATAAAATAGCAGAGGAAGCTGAAGCGAGGTAAGCGAAGCGACTAATAAAGAGGCTGCCTAGGAGTAATACAACATGGGTGCATAGTAGGTGGAGAACGAGGACGACGTGTTTACAGCGAAGCAATAGTGGATAAAGTCGATTATGGATCGATGATTTTGAATAATCTCGAGATACACGCGCAGATACACACGCACACGCGCACGCGCGCACACACATAACGTAATTTCATCAAGATTTGTAGCATTTAGCTACGTAAGGTCGAGTGAGGGTTGTATATATTACCAAGCCAGGCTATAAATGATACATCAGGAGTCAACAGTGCTTTTAATACACCATGGGAGATGTTGTATAATAATTGTTCAGAATAATTGTACAAACATAGGTCTAGCTCAGTGTGGCACCTACTAGAGGCAATTTCTGAAAATTTGAAATGACAATCATTGCCGCAACCAGTGCCATAATGAAATTTATATGTTTAGAGTAAATATATATATGTATACACGTATATAATTGTACGCATTCATGTGTGCATGGATGGTTACTGTATATCTTTATCCTCTATTTCTGTTTTTCTTGACCCTTCTTATTGTTAGTTCCTCCAATTCCAATCATCTTATTATGTAATATAAATTTAATTGTAATTCCGATTATACTTATAAGATGCACACCTAGACACTTAAAAGAATATAACCCCATTCTCGTCAAAACAGGCCCGGTGGGAGAGTCAAACCCAGGAGGAAGGAACCCCGCTGTCAAAGTACTACAAGACGTGGAGAAAGCTGAGAGATCGGGAGTTGGCTCATGAAATATCTGGCAAAGAGCAGGTTTGTGTCATTAATCGATCACAGCAATGTAACGAGTGGGAAGCCATTGGCATACTGCATGGATTATCCAGAACACTGTAATCGTATTGTAGCTGTAACTCAATGTGTCCTTTTTCAGATTGTGGATCAATTGCACGATACGAAAATACCGTATATGAAGCATAAGAAAGAGAAATTGGACAAGAAAGAGTTCAGTGGTCTGTTTCCCAGTGAGAGTGAAAGTGATGGTGAAGAATCAGAAGAGGAACTCCTAAAGAGGTGGGCAGAAATATCTTGCATGAAAAAAGCACTGTAACGACCTGGGGGCCATTGTCAGAAACATCGTAAAGTTGATGCTAATGTTAATGCTAAGATAACACTTACGACTAATGTTAATGTTACGAGAGGAGCGTTGACAGAAACACATCGCAAGTTCGCAACTATTAGAAAGCTTACGATAACAGAAACTTCATCACAAGGCTGCTGATTGGATGAGAATCGATCACAAAATTCAAATTCATAGACATTTATTGTACATCACAGTAATGTAATTATGCATATTATGATGGCTAACCACATATAAATAATATTTGATGAAAAACGACGTGGTCATGAATTTATTCTGCACAACAAGACAAATTCTCACACTGTAACACGAGACGCGAGAGTCGTGGCAATTAAAACAAGAGAACAAATGCCATACGCCATTTGTAAATGGTTTGTTTTGTTTTTGATCGGTAGATAATTAATGATTTTGCCATGTTTTTCAAGAAAAACACATTTTATTCATTATTATAAAATATAATATCAGTATAATTGTAATTCGTAGTGTATATGTGTTATTTTCATCTTAATATTAAAGTTACGAGAGGGTCTGGGTTCTCGTAATGTTAAGAGGATATTTTCGAGGATTTTCTATTCTCGTAAATTTGCGATGTTTCTGTCAACAGTTTTAAGAGTGGAAGTTAATGTTAAGACTAATGTTAAGACTAATTTTGTTTCAGACAACGGGCCCCTGGTTAGGTTTGCGTGCACATCCATATGTGTGTGTGCCCATGTGTAATCTAAAGTGTAGTATTGCAGTACACTTATGTAGACTTTGTAGTATAGGGTAGAGACACTATTATTATGACTAGGCGCAGGGTGGAATCTCATAATAGAGGTGAGATAAAACCATACTAAAAGTAACCATCTTGTTACAAAGCCCAGCAGCACGTTTGATGATCGGACGTGAAATAATAATATTCTCGCTGTTAGGTTTGATCCAACGAAGAACGATCAAAAAAGCCGCCAGAAGGTCACGCACTCATGACGTCAGACGATGATGCAGATGCCTGCAACTTGATGACGGCTCAGGGAAACTCGGATCGTAGTGCAGTCCAGGGTACATGGTCAGTAGCTGTGCGTGGCGTGTGTGGTGCGCGTCGTGCGTGCGTGCGTGCCGCGACGTGAGTGCGTGCATGGGTTGAGCACCCGATCGCATGTTTGCATAGTGTGTTGACAGGAGCCTGAAAAAATCAACATTAATTTCCATAAGCATACCTGTTGGTAATCAAGTGTTATGGGATGCTGGCTTTAAAGAACAAATGCCTACACCCTCTCAAAAATCCTTGCATTTCATTTGTTTCTAAAGAAATGTCACTGTAAAGCTTTTTGAATGTGTTTTTTGGGTGTTAAGAGATACATTTATATGATAGTAGCATGAGTGGACTTAAGTATCATTAAATCTTTGTTTCCAGTGGATGATATGAAGATGAAGAATGAAGGGGAGGAAAAGCAAATGATAAAAAACAGAAAACAAACGAAAATGCAGATGCAGCCAAAAAGAAGAAGAGGAAGACGATGAGTTTTCCTGATGCAGATGATATCGTTGAAGGACGTTTGAAATTCTCGGATGATGATCGCACATGAATATTGAATTATTTTGTAAACCCTGCAAACTGATTTTATAATACAAATATTTCAAATTATTTATGTATTTTTTTCCTGTGACTAAGTCAACTGAACAGATGCTTTTGAAAATTATAGCAGAAATAATCTCTATTTTGAACAAATGTGCATCTATATCGCAGCAGATTACATACAATAGGAAGAAATGATTACATCTGCACACAGCAAAACACACAAGGCTGTAACATCGACGGATACCTGTAGATATTAATTAATAAATTAAAGGGTCGAAAAATAATTCTTAACAATAACTTCGTGTACCTTTTGTAACAAGTAAAGCGTAGGCCTACTAGTGCTCGATGTTTCCTGCACAATTCATGTATATACTCATAGCTTTTCAATTCTCGTTACTTGTAAGATATTTACACCAACCGTCGATACAGCATTACTCAAATGTTTCTTTGATGTTAAATTATAACGGCTGTTCGTCAATAGTCGCAGCAAAATGTGAGTATTAAAGATGCGTGATTATACACATCAATCTCACGAATTTACTGGTAACACGGCAACGGGTCTGATCTTAGAAAGTTGCTCTTATATAATTTCTATCTGAAATTAAAGTGTTCACCAGAAGATGGGCGGCCACAGTGTCATTTGGAAGTTTCGCGCACGGAAATCTAATGCCAACCGAAACACTTGGTCTGCACTACCAAAATTTCCTAGTGATAATTATTTATGCCATCGGCTTTTTATTTTTCCTCGAAATTTCTCTCTTCCATCGAGAAATGTTTATTAGCAAGAAGTATAATGGAAGCGGAGAAGAAAAGATGGCACGTAGAATATAGGTGGCCGTAGACATTGAATAAATTAGCGAAAAATAAAAATATGCAGAGGAAGCTGAAGCGAGAATAAGCGAAGGCGATCTAATAAATGGCTGGCCTAGGAGTAATACAACATGGGTGCATAGTAGGTGGAAGAACGAGGACGACGTGTTTACAGCGAAGCAATAGTGGATAAAGTCGATTATGGATCGATGATTTTGAATAATCTCGAGATACACGCGCAGATACACACGCACACGCGCACGCGCGCACACACACTCGCGCACGCACGCACACACACATACACATACACACGCGCACGCGCGCGCGCATACACACATACATACATACACATGCACACACAAATACGCACACGCGCGCGGGCACGCGTACATACAGCAATTGTATTTGCAAAACGTCGGTATCGTGCTGTTGTATTGCATACTGCGATCGAATCACCTGCACCACACACGCACGCGCGCACACGCGCACACGCGCACACACACAGTGTCACAACACACACCACACACACACACACACCAGCACACACACACACACACACACACACACACACACACACACACACACACACACACACACACACACGCACGCACACACACACACACGCGCGCGCGCGCGTGTTTTGTGCATGTGATGGCCGTATATTTATACATGTACATGGGCGTTTGCTCTTACGGTAAGTGTGTTTGTTTTGTGCATGTGATAGCTGTGCGCTCTTACGATAATCAATGTGTACATCGCGCGAGAATCATTGGTACATCGTGCGAGTTTTGAGCGAGTTTTGAGGCAGAACGAGTTTTGAGCGAGATTTTTAGATGGAAATGCATGAATGAAAACACAGAGAACATACACTGCGAGATCGCGGGCGGTTAATAGAGATTTCCGGATAACGGGTGGCCGGATAAAGGAGGTCGGACTGTATGTATGTATATGTGACTTTTTGTGTATTTCAGAATGAAAATCGGCAAATGGGCACAGCTGACAACACTGTCATCAGGGCTCATGTGTCAACTCGGTTCACCTGCCAACTCGGTACGTGTGAGATCGGTGAGCTCGGTTCGTGAGATGAGTTGACGCGTCTGGAGATCGGTGAGCTAGGTTCGTCGGCTAACTCGTGTACTAACTCTAATATCTTGCGAACGATTTGAGTTACATTTATAAAATTCCATAGTCTTAGAGATATTAGCCTATGACGATACCGCGCGTATATTAGCCTATGACGATACCGCGCGTACGTATATTTCTGGTAATTAACTAAACTAGTCGTGCATCAATAAACTCAAAATTCACGGAAACCATAGCTAAGACATGTGTTTATATGTATCTAGAATTTTAGAAATGTAACTCAGATCGTTCGCGAGATATTAGCCTATGACGATACCGCGCGTATATTAGCCTATGACGACCCAGGACAAAAGGTATCATTAACTTTAAGAGTAGAATTATTAACTTTTTAATGATTTGAGCATTAAAACTTAATAGCTGTATCATCAACTTGTCCAATGATTTGATTCTTAAAGATAATGATTTGAACATTAAAGTTAATGGTAATTTCGCCGCATTTAATAGTTTGATTCTTAAAGATAATGATTTGAACATTAAAGTTAATGGTAATTTCGCCGCATTTAATAGTTTGATTCTTAAATTTACAGAAACCATAGCTAGACATGTGTTTATATTACTAGATTTAGAAAGGTAACTCAAATCGTTCGCGAGATATTAAGCCTATGACGATACCGCCCGTATATTGCCTATGACGATACCGCGCGTATCGTAATTTCTGGTAATTACATTTAAAGCTATATCCGTGCCAATAAACTCAATCACAGAAACCATAGCTAAGACATGTGTTTATATGTAATCTAGAATCTTAGAAAGTGTACTCAAATCGTTCGGAGATATTAGCCTATGACAGATTACCGGCGCGTATTATTAGCCTTATGACTAGACCGCGCGTACGTATATTCTGGTAATAATTAAACGTATTCGTTTGCTTCACATAAACTCAAAATTCACAGGAAACCATAGCATAAGACATGTGTTTATATGTATCTACGAATTTTAGAAACTGTTACCTCAATCTCTCCGGATATTAGCGCATGACAGTACCGCGCTATATTGCTATGATATACGCGGCGTACGTATATTTTGGTAATTAATTAAACTATTTCGTGCTTCAATAAACTCAAAATTCACAAAACCATAGCTAAGACAAGTGGTTTATATGTATCTAAGAAATTTTAGAATGTAACCTGAAATCGGGTTCGCGAGGATATTTAGCCATGACGATACCGCGGCGTCACGTATATTTCTGTAATTAATTAAACGATTCGTGTTTCCAATAAACTCAAAATTCACATGAAACCGTCCGAGCTAAGACAATGTGTTTATATGTATCTAGAATTTAGAAATGTAACTCAAATCGTTCGCGGAGATATTGCCTAGACGATACCGCGCGTATATTAGCCTAATGACGATACCGCGCGACGTATATTCTGAATAATTAAATAAACTACATCGTCGTGCCTTCAATAAACTGAAAATTTACAGGAAACCGATAGCTAAGACATGTGTTTATAATGTATCTAGAATTTTAGAAATGGAAACTTCAAATCCCGTTCGCGAAGATATTAGCCTATGACGATACGCGCGTATATTAGGCCTATGACGATACCGCGCGTACGTCATATTTCTGTAATAATTAAACTTATTCCGTGCTCCAATAAACTCAAAATTTCACAGAAACCATAGCTAAGACATGTGTTTCATATGTATCTCAGATTCTTAGAAATGTACCTCAAATCGTTCGCGAAGAGGGTAGCCTATGACATACCGCGGTATATTAGCCTATGACTATATCGCGCGTACGTATTTGCTGGTATATTAAACTATTCGTTGCTTCAATACTCAAAATTCACAGAAACCATAGCTAAGACATGCTGTTTATACGTATCTAGAATTTAGAAATATAACTCAAATCGTTCGCGAGATATTAGCCTTGACGATACCGCGCGTATAATTTAGCCTATGACTTACCAGCGCGTAGGTAATATTTCTGGTAATTAATTACAACTATTCGTGCCTTCAATTAAACTCAAATTCCAAAAACCATAGCTAAGACATGTGTTTATATGTAATCTAGAATTTTAGGGAATTAACTGAAATCTTCGCGAGATATTGAGCCTATGACGATACCGCGCGTACGTATATTTCTGTAATTAGATTAAACTATTCGTCGCTTCAATAAACTCAAATTCACAGAAACCTGCTTAAGACATGTGTTATATGTATCTAGAATTTAGAAATGCAACTCAATCTCGTTCGCGAGATATTAGCCTATGACTATACCGGCGTACGTATATTTCTAGTAATTAACTTAAACTATTCGTGTTTCAATAACTTCAAAAATTCACAGAAAACCGTAGCTAAGACATGTCGTTTATATGTATCTAGAATTTTGAGAATATGTAACTTCAAGATCGTTCGGCGAGATATATTGCCATGACGATACGCGCGGTATATTAGCCTATGGGACGGATACGCGCGTACGTATATTCTGATAATTAATTTAAACTATCGTCGTGCTTCAATGAACTGAAAATTTACAGAAACCATAGCTCAAGACATGGTT